TCATGGTGGTGTGTAAGAACACCGCCATGAACGACGATCCTCAGGCGCAGGCTCAATCAAGCAAGGAGATGCTGCTCTCCAGTCCTCCCCCAGAGAACCGCATGGCTGGTCTCTTCTTCACCTTCACAGAGGACCATCGCCGCATCCTCAACGAGCTCGTGCGAAATAGCCCCAAGCTCATGTCGGGAACCTTTGCGCTCCTCGTCAAGAATCCCAAGGTATTGGAGTTCGACAACAAGCGGAACTACTTCAACCGCAGCGTCCACAGCCGGTCCAACAGCAACCAGCGGCCGTCATTCCCCGCGCTCCAGCTTTCCGTCCGTCGCGAACATGTCTTCCATGACTCGTTCAAGTCGCTTTACTTCAAGACTGGCGATGAGATGAAGTACGGCAAACTCAACATTCGCTTCCACAATGAAGAAGGTGTTGACGCTGGAGGTGTGACTCGCGAATGGTTCCAGGTCCTGTCCAGACAGATGTTCGACGCCAACTACGCACTCTTCACTCCCGTCTCCTCTGACCGCACCACGTTCCACCCCAACTCTCTCAGCGGAATCAACGATGAGCATCTCATGTTCTTCAAGTTCATTGGACGCATCATCGGCAAAGCTCTCTACGAGGGCCGAGTCCTCGACTGTTACTTCAGCCGTGCAGTCTACAAGCGCATCCTAGGCAAGTCTGTATCTGTCAAGGATATGGAGTCATTTGACCCAGACTACTACAAGTCGCTCGTATGGATGCTTGACAATGACATCACCGACATCATCACCGAGACCTTCTCTGTTGAAGACGACGAGTTTGGCGTGACTCGCACAATAGACTTGTGCCCCAACGGCCGAGACATTGCCGTCACCGAGGAGAACAAGCACGACTACGTGAGACTGGTGGTGGAGCACAAGCTTCTCTCTTCGGTCCGGGAACAGATGGAGCACTTCCTCAAGGGTTTCCACGACATCATTCCGGCCGACCTCATTTCTATCTTCAACGAGCAGGAGCTTGAACTGCTCATCTCGGGCTTGCCTGACATCGACGTCGATGACTGGAAGAGCAACACGGAGTACCACAACTACACCCCATCTTCTCAGCAAATACAGTGGTTCTGGCGAGCGATTCGGTCATTTGACAAGGAAGAGCGGGCTAAGCTGTTGCAATTCGTCACCGGCACCAGTAAGGTGCCTCTCAATGGATTCAAGGAATTGGAGGGCATGAATGGAATTAACCGTTTCAATATCCATCGGGACTACGGCAATAAGGAGCGCCTTCCCAGCTCTCACACATGCTTCAACCGTAAGTATTCCCCATAGATGTTACATCAATGACAGGTGACTAACGGAGTTACACAGAACTTGATCTCCCCGAGTACGAGAGCTACGAGACGCTTCGCGCACAAGTCATGAAGGCCATCACGGCGGGAAGCGACTACTTCGGCTTTGCATAAGACGCGAACGCGCAGACATAGACCATGGTAATTGCGTTTACGTGAGCATTTGCATTATTGAGGAAGGGCGACACAGGACATGGTTACTGGAGTGGATGACTTGTGTGTGTTATTCAGCGGAGATGCGTCATCATTGGACCCTGGGCCGCATATACATATGTTTGAGGCGAAGGCGATCAAGGCCCGATGCTCTCATCATTTCATTTTGTTTCGGTCCCGAACGCGAGATGCTGGCTGTGTCCTTGCGGAGTGCAGGCCGCTTGGAATGCAAGGTAGTATTCTTGAGTTTGGTGGCTTAGTATGTAGAGTACTCAACAAGTCCATTAGACGACAATTCTTGGTTCTGTGCTATAGTACATGAAAGTTTGTGACAGAGCTTCGACGGTTGATGCCTGCAGCTAAATTGCTACCCCAAAATCCATCTGAGTGGTCGAAAGCTTGACGACCAGCCCGGCCCTTTCCGAAGGGGAAAGGTCGAAGGGAAAAAGGCATGGATCTGCTGTGAGTGAGCAAGCCGTACGAAGGTCAGGATAGAGAACTAGTGGCGTTGCTGAGTGGGAACGTGGCTTGTTCTCTCTTCTGTAAATCCCAATTTCATTTCTTACCAAGTGCGTTTAGAGTGGTCCATCTAGTACAGAGCTCTTCAGAGAAGACTTTGTGTGAAAGTATGGTGACAGCTGACCAGCGCTCCAGCGCTCAAAAGATGGTCAAAGGTGAAGAGAGCCGAGGACCTGGGGACCCTTGCTTGTTCCCCACAGACCATGTTGACCTCTCAGCGATGGCGGAACAATGACGGCAGGACGCTAGTCCTTTTTTTTTTTTTTTCTCTTCCCTTTCCCTCCCGCAGTATTCTCCGATGACAACCGCAAAGTTAACAATTGACAAGAAAATCTGCAACCTCGTTGTCGGCAACTGAACGCGACCCTCTTATACTCACACCCCAGAGATCATCTTGCTGTGCTAGTCTTGCGCACAATCACCACACGTCTCACAACACTTTCCAAAGACAACTGGGTGCGACTTCAAACGACCGACAGCCATACCCCTCCATCGTGACCCCGCGCTGCGTTTCGATTCGCCGAGCAAGTCGACCTTAGCCTGCAAACATCAGCAGGTACTGCAGGCCTTGCCTATTTACGCGACCAGCCGCCCCCTCTCGACCTCTTTTCTTTTTCTCCTCTTCTTCCCGTCGTCACACTTACGACCGACCTCATGGGGGACATGGCGAACGATATTAAGCTGCTGAAGGGCAGCTCCCACGGGGAGCTGTCCCAGAAGGTCGCACAGCGGTATGTCTCTCTTTCTTCAATTGAACGGCTTGGCGGAAAATGGCTCTTGCTAACCTGCGATTCTGCGCCGCGACAGTCTTGGAATTCCTCTTGCGAAGACTATGAGGTGAGCGATTCCCCTCCTCCCCGCCGAGCGATCACGATTCTCCTGCGCGCGCCGACTGCTTCAAGCGAAACCGGAAAAAAAAAGCTTTGCGTTCCCGATTGTCGCAATTGATTGCTGACCGCTGTGCTTCCTTGCAGTCTGAACTACTCCAACCAAGAAACCAGGTTAGCGAACAATCTCTCGACCGAGATGGGCGGCTTGAGTTTGGGAGCATTTTTGAACTGACGTCTTTACTGTGTCACCGTTGGCGAGAGCGTCCGCGACGAGGATGTCTTCATCCTGCAATCGAGCGAGCCTGGCAACGTCAACGACGGCCTCATGGAGCTTCTGATCATGATCCACGCCTGCAGAACCGCATCCGCCCGCCGAATCACCGCCGTCATTCGTCAGTACCGCCGAAAAGTACATCATGGGGGTTTGCCTGCTGACGAGGAGATACACAGCTTGCTTTCCTTACGCTAGACAGGATAAGAAGGACAAGAGTCGTGCTCCGATCAGCGCGAAGCTGGTTGCCAACATGCTCCAGGTTTCGGGATGCGTAAGTACTGCTGGTGGGAGAATGGTAAGGACACAACGAGGACTGACGCTCGTCTTTGCGACACGCAGAACCACGTTATCACGATGGACCTACACGCCTCGCAGATCCAGGGATTCTTCAACATCCCCGTCGACAACCTGTACGCCGAGCCTAGTGTGCTCCAGTGGATCAAGTCCAACATGAGCGTCGAGGACACCGTCATCGTCTCCCCCGACGCCGGCGGTGCCAAGCGAGCCACCGGTATTGCCGATCGCCTCGAGACTGGCTTCGCCCTGATCCACAAGGAGCGCCCTCGCCCCAACGTCGTCGGCCGCATGATTCTTGTCGGAGACGTCAGGGACAAGATCGCCATCCTGGTCGACGACATGGCCGACACCTGCGGTACCCTCGCCAAGTACGTAACCGTGCCACTGACGATGTTTTCGTCTGCTAACTATTCTGTAGGGCTGCTGAGACTCTCAACAACGCTGGTGCTCGTGAGGGTAGGTTTCCTCCTTCTCATCGATATCGTTCTTTATGCTCACTAGTGTCCCAGTCATCGCCATCGTCACCCACGGCGTCCTCAGCGGCAACGCCGTCGAGACGCTCAACAACAGCTGCCTGTCCCGCATCGTCGTGACCAACACCGTGCCCCTCGGCGACAAGATCGAGCGCTGCCCCAAGCTGCGCGTCATCGACATCAGCCAGGTCCTTGGCGAGGCCATCCGCCGCACCCACAACGGCGAGAGCGTCAGCTACCTCTTCAACCACGTTCCCGTGTAGGAGAAATCGGGATAGGTTTTTCCCAAATGGTTTTTGGAGGTTTCTTTCCCTATGGCCGGCAGCAGCAGCAGTAGCCCAAGATTGGAATAATATCATGGGCATCGTTGTTCTTTTTGTTCTTTTTCAAAAAAGGGGTGGGCGTCACGGCACAAAATAGCATTCAGGCAAGGTTGCTTTTTTCAGGCAGATTACGAACTGCTTTAGACAGAAAATTCAGGTTCATATGGACTTTTACCACGAGGTAGAATAAAAATCGTCTTTCACGTCTTGATACCCATTTAGCAGTCTACCGAACGTCGTATTTCAACGTCGACCTCACTTGATGGGCATCTGTGAAAGCCAAAGGTGGGTCTCAGCCCATGGCTTCAACTGGAGACAGGCGGTGAGTCTGGGGTAAGAAAATTTTAGACCCTGAAGTTGAGCAACGGCCCACGTCAAATGTGTGGATCGGATTTTCTGGAGGCAAAGCCCACGAAGATCTCCCCGGCCAACAGACATCTGGTCGATGAGCGTTCTTTATATTAAGATATTGCGGAGAGGATATCAGGATTACGACGGGCGAGGAAGACGCGAGGGGACATGTCATGAAACATCTCAAACAAAAACTTTTATCGCTGTGGTATTTGCGCGTCAAGGAAGCATTTCCATTTTGAATGCCCTATTACATTCGTGAACTGAGAAAAGAACTCAAGACTGGTCTCATGACACTTAATCCAGTCCCGCATCCTTCTTTCCCCGTCTTTTTTTGAAAAAACGTTTCCCGTTCCCACGCCTGATGCAAGAGAAACCAGAAGGGACCCCAAGTAGTGATTCGTTACCTTTTCACATTTTTCCCACCTGAACCAACGCCATACGCAAGGGTTAGATTTACTTGCGCATGGAGGAGGCACGGCGCTTGCGGGCGTCGGCCTTCTCGGCCTTGCGCTCAGCGACACGCTTGGCGAGGATCTGGGCGTATTCGTTCTGCAGAGGGGAGTCAGCGTCGATGCTTCTAGGGTAGGAGAGCAAGCAGAAAAACGTACAGCCTCGTCCTTGACCTTCTCGGCCTGGCGGCGCTTGAGGGCGATGCGGTGGCGCTTGTGCTGGAGACGCTGGGGAGTGACGAGTCTCTGGATCTTGGGGGCCTTGGTGTAAGGCTTCTTGCCCTCGCCCTTGGGCTGGACCTCGCGGCGGATGACGTACTTGCGGACCTATAAGTTACGGCAAAGAAGTGCCTAGGTTAGCGACTGCAGTTTTGGGGTCTGTGATTTGGATAGCAAAAGCCGACGCGTGCTTCCCTTCCCCCTTCTTTCCGTTGGCCCCCCTTCTTCCTCATGTTTGACTGCTCGTTCCCTCCAAGGTCCTCCTCTCTTCGTAACGCAAATCTTGAGCTCTCGTGGGCTTCAAAAGTATTCGAGTCGGGAAAAGATTCTGGGTTCCTGAGGAAAAGCAAAGCAACAAAGAGCAAGAAGTGGGGTTTCCGGAAGGAAAAGGGATGGGAAGACACGGTCCCGTCTCTCACACTCTACCCGGTCTGCTGAAATCCTCCACCGCAGCACCGTTGGTAGGCGATGACGAAGTGGCTGATGTTCCCGGAGCGGGGACACTGCGAAAGGAGCACACATACATCGTCATCCTTGGTGAGGCTGAAGAACTTGCGGATCTTGGTGGCGCGCTTGGGGCCGAGGCGCTTGGGGTGGACGACGTCGGTCAGGCCGGGGATGTCGGCCTCGCCCTGCTTGACGATGGAGAGGGCAAGGACGGAGAGGTCCATGCCGACGATGCAGCCACGGACGGACTTGCGCTTGCGCTCACCGGTGCGGCGGGGGCGGTAGCAGGAGTGGCCGTCGGAGAGGAGGAGGCGGACACGGGTAGGGTGCATGACACCCTGCTTCATGGGGAAACCCTGCTTGTCGTTGCCGCCGGTGATCTTGAAGATGTAGCCCTTGAACTCGTCGCCGACGGAGTCACCGGGGACCTCAGCGCCCATCTGTTGTGGTTATTAGTCCATGTTTTTGTTGTCTATCGCTTCGACTCGGGTCGTCTGTTCGGTGTCGACGAGGTCTTTCGCGCGAAGGAGAGGGGAAAGAACGTACGCGCTTCTCCATGAAGACACGGAGCTTGCGCTCATCCTCAATCTCGATGAGCTTCTGGCTGCCATTGGCAGGGTAGGAGATGTTCAACTGTTTGGAGAAAGATGGTCAGCGCCCGTCAATTTTCTTGAAAGTTTTCCCCGCCGAAATTTTGGCGGTCGCGCGGCGACAGCAGCAAAATTGAATCGACATAATGACAATTCTCCTTCTCTGATCGTCATGCTCGTGGGTAGTGGTAATATCTTACCTTCATCTTGCCGGCGGGTTGGGGATGAGGGTCGTGAAGTTGTCGACTGGCTGCGGTTAGTTGGGAAAAAAGAGTGAAAAGTGAAAATGGCCGAAATTCGAGATGTGTGTGTCGCTAGGGGCCTCAGGGCTGGGGAGCTGGCCGGCCAATCAGAATGGACTGAGCCCGGTCCAGGTCTGGCGGCGGCAAGTCGACGTGGATCGAGCTTTTTCTCACGTGATTGAGGACTTTGGAAAGTACGTACCTGACCAGACGCTGTTTCTTAGGTAATCTCGACATCTTCAAGTCTTTGGCCATCTCATTGACAAGCTCGTCACCAGCTGCGGACATCATACACTCTCGCCGCCTCTGAGAACTTCACACATCGACGCACCTCGAGCGATCACCCGCCATGTCGGAAGTCAAGATCTACCCGCCCAAAAAGGGTTCTCCAGGGTCCGACAACCCTTTGCCGCAAACCATCAAGACCCCATCAGGACTTGCACTACTTGAGATGCAGGGCACAATCAATCTGCCTCATTTCAATGCCGACGGCGAGGGTGATAAGACTGCGCCTGAGGTCCCCGTTGGCAGAATCGTATTTCCGGAACACCAACCTGGAGATGACAGCACAGCTTGGATGAAGCGAGTCTTTCTTTACGTCGGTCAGCACCAGAGACTCAGTGGTGAAGTCAAGAAACTCCCGAAGGCGATGGCCATTATTCGCCGCAAGGGAGAAGCGAAGACAGGCGCCATCGGCGAGACGGAGGAGGAGCTGGAAATTGCTGAGATTGTCAAGTACAAGATCATGTTTGGGCAGCGGCCTGAGCCTGTCGGAACAGAGCATACTTCATAGGGGAAGTTGTCGTTCACGACGGCTCAAGGTAGTCGAAGCAATTTTTGAGACTTCTGGGCAAATGCCGAAGCGGTGGGTCTCAAGTGCAACGAGTTGCTCTCTTTGAGGCCTTTGCATGCGCCTGAGATCGCCCAATATTCGATCGTCGAACGAGACCAGGAATGCATCTCTTGGAGGCTGGGTCGGTTTGGTACATTTGCAGCAAGGAAAGTTGAGGCCCGCGGCTGCTCTGTCACTGGCACGATTTCAACATTAGCAGTCAGGACGAGGCATCTTTAGGAACATCACCGGCATGGCAGACAAAAGCGCCGCGACAAAAGGTGCAGGGTTCCGGTATATCACAATACTTGTTATTCGGCTAACGCTGAGTGATGGAGGTCACCAAACTTTTCGCGCAAGAATTGCCCGCACCAGTCGGAAAACCCTTGCTATGTCGCTCAGCCACGAAGCGGCGCACAAACCATGAAGACACGCCGTTCGAAACGAGCGAGATTAGCAGCCGACATGACAGAAGGGTAGGCCGGGTTTGAGTCTCTTGGTGGAGAGCGTCGGTCAGAGTATCGACACACCTCTCACACGGAGCGCATGTCAATAAGAGACTAGCAGTTCCCAGGTGTGGAGTCCTATGAACAAAGGTTCACTCCGCACGTGTCTACTTCGTTCATGTGAACGCCAGTCCCAGCCGTCCTGCGGCGCATCCCGTCCGAGCTGGGGGTTCTAAGGACGTGGACGAGGAAGAGGATGGCGGCTCCAGAAATATAGACGGCATTTGCGAGAATAACGACAGAATCAGGGCGCACCCGGGAGGAAAAGTGTCCATCTGCACCTGAAATCGACTGCAAAAAAAGGCCATTATGGTAGCACCAGCCAGTCAAGAGAAGGAAGGCGTCATCAACAGACGAAAACACATATTGAAACCAGCCGTTGAATACTTCACCGACCAAAAGACTTGGCACTGGGCCCAATTGACCCAGATTGACCAGGATTCCGCCCCATGGCGATATTATCACTGTTCTGATTTCGGCATTCACCGACAAGTTGCTATCATCAAGGCATCAAGCCAAGAGGGGGAAAGAAAATGTTGCCGTTACAACATCAGAGTCAATGGTTCAAATCATGTCCGACAGGGATTCTCCATACCTCCGCGGACTGCGTGAGGGGGAACGTTGGGGACTACCCGAGGTGGCTATTAGGATAAATAGCTGGCGCATCTTGCAATTGCAACTTTAATTTAACCGCAGACAGCCTGATTGACCGGTTTCCCTTCGCCCCAGCCGGAGATGGAGATGTTCATGCCAGGGACGACCCCTGCCACCTGCTAGCCGTGGTCGCGCTATTGGCTCTGTTCAACCGGCACCTCTAAACTTCTGGTTCTCGCCGGAATGAGCTCCTGTTCTAGCGTTCTTGGTTCATAACCCACATCACGGGTATTCCCTTCACCATCTCTCATATGTCTTGAGTCCATCGGGCCAAGCGGCCCTCTGTCTTGTTTACCCAACCAACAAGAATGCTACCCCGGCCTGCAGGTCTTGGGCCCAAGACGGTGGGCGACGCCAGACCAGGTTCTCCTCACTTGGAGGACGTCACCTAGGGCTAGCAATATCACCGGCTTCGCCCCGCCATGTTGGGTGATCCGGAGAGCATTCTCGTCCCGTCGGCTGAGAAATTGGGGTAAAGATGGGGAACGGTGTTGCATTGGACCTTGCATATATGAATTGAGTTGTCTTCCCGTGGACGTGAAATTGCTGATCCTGTTCTCCTTCACCTCCCGGTCTCGGTCTCTCGCGAAAGGTCTTCTTCGCTCGGTCTGCGGTTATCATGCATCTCCAGTCTCTCACCGTGCCACTGCTGGCGGCGTCGCTGCCGTTGGCCTCGGCCCAGCTCGAGTCCTACGCCAAGAAAGCCGGCCTGCTTTACTTTGGTGCCGCGACCGACTCTCCGGGACAGCGTGAACGCGCAGGTCTGGAGGCATCCTACGCCCAGTACGATGCCATCTTGGATGACATCAATGAGTTTGGCCAGACCACCCCAACCAACGGGCAGAAGGTCAGTCACCAATTCCGTCGAGTGCCTCCTGAATCAACTAACATCACGTCCAGTGGCTCTTCACCGAGCCCGAGCCCGGCGTCTTCAACTACACCGAGGGCGAGATCGTCTCCTCCATCGCCGAGGAGAACGGCCAACTCCTCCGCTGCCACGCCCTCGTCTGGCACAGCCAGCTGGCCCCCTGGGTCGAAACTACCGAGTGGACACCCGAGGAGCTCGAGGAGGTAATTGTCCGCCACATTACAAACGTTGCGGGCCATTGGAAGGGCCGCTGCTACGCCTGGGACGTCGTCAACGAGGCGCTCGAGGACGACGGCACATGGCGCCAGTCGGTGTTTTACAAGGTGCTCGGTGAAGACTACATCAAGTTGGCGTTCCGCACGGCGGCCGAGGTCGACCCGGACGCGAAGCTCTACTACAACGACTACAACCTGGAGAGCGTCGGCGCCAAGAGCGAGGCAGCCAGGGGTATCGTCAAGATGCTCCAGGCCGACGGCATCAGGATCGACGGCATCGGCATGCAGGCTCACTTGGTTGCCCACCGCGCGCCGACTCTGGACCAGCAGATTGAGGTCATCAGCAGCTACGCCGAGCTCGGCGTCGAGGTGGCGCTGACTGAGTTGGACGTCAGGATCGAGCTTCCCGTCAACGAGACCAACTTGGAGTGGCAGAAGGAGGCTTATAAGGCGGTAAGCAGAGGACCACAATTCTCGAAAGTTTGCATGACACTAACATGTCAAATAGTCCGTCGGAGCCTGTGTCCAAGTCCCCGCCTGCGTCGGAATCACCATCTGGGACTTCTACGACCCTTTCAGCTGGGTTCCCTACACTTTCGAGGGCGAGGGCGCGGCCCTTCTCTGGTTTGATGACTTCAGCAAGCACCCGGCTTACGACGGTGCGCTGGAGGCACTGAAGAACAAGACTGCTTCCCCTTGCAGGAGGCGACGAGGACTTGACTCTGGCAAGAGCAGGAAGCTGTTTTGAGTACCCAGAGGCTTCATATAATGCATAATGAAAGACACATTAGCTTTGAGAGACTGCGTAAATGCTCAAAAGATATAGTCTAGCACGCCACAGAAGGACGTGCGCGTACACACATAACCATTACTTTCATGAAATCGCAACTCGGACTTCTGCAATGCCCAAAACGCCGTTTGACAGATTAATGTAACTCGCCAGCTTGCCGAGGAAGCCTGGTGGTCACTCCCGATATGGGTGTCTTGAGTCCTCACTCACAATGACGAAGTCGCACGATCCGGATTGCTTGCTCCTTCAACAGCCAAACAACGATGGAAATTCTGGGTGCCGTACACCTTTAGCGAACAAAGCTGCATCGAACAAAAGATGTTGAATCTGTTCGAGTAGAACAATCTCAAGCATCCGTCACAATTTGGTCCTGACTATGCCCGGTTTGCAGATCATCCTGACTAATACTCCCGGATCTATCGGAGCCCCAACGCCTCTCATCTGCCGGAGTCAGGCGGAGCAGCACCCATGGGCTCGTCAACGTGTCGGGCATTTTCCCTGGCGATCTTTGACGGTTTAGTGATCGTGACAGGGCCCGCTAGTTGTCAATGGTTTAGAGCTTGGGCAAGCAGGTGCCTCGAGCCATCTTGTGGGTTTGTCGAACCACCCTTGATCCTGCAGTCTGCAGTGTCCCCCCCCCCGAAAACCAGGATGATTTTGACAAATAACCTTAACAAGTTGGGCTTCAAAGAATGGCGGGGTCCAGCAGTCTTTGATGTCGACGGCGCTCGGCTGAGGCGTTGCCGCTAAGAGCTAGGACGGGTTGAGTGGAAGTCCACCTGGTGGTGCCGTCATCTTTCGCATCTGTTGCGGGCTAGCAGTCGCTCACTAAGCGCACGCGAAGTGAGATCTGCGAGAATTTGAAATATCTCAGATAGCCTATCCGGCATCTGCTCGCTGTCATATCAAAGGTTAACGATGCTCGTTCTCGGGATTGGGCGCAGCGAAGAGCAGTCGAGGCACAGCAAACTCCGCGGGAAGGAGCATGCAGGAGATATGGAATTATTAGATACCACTCACAAAGCGTGGTTACACTCCGAAGCTTCCTTGGAGATGCAAAACATTCCAGAAAAAGTGTAGCCTAGTTGCTGCCACGCTAGACGGCTAGTCCGGCTGGGTTGAGTCTAGAACGACAACCGGACCGCGGTCAGGTGCCTGGATGGCTACGGATGGCTTGTCGGAGTTCAAACGGTGAGTTCATTGAGCCCAATTCCATCGATACCGAGGCTTAAGGAATGACTACTGACATCATGCGTGCGCAGGCGGCTGGCCCGGTGGTGATGGGTCCTGACTACGGGTCTGGGGGCTCATCACAATTTGCCTGTCAGCCTGTTGCGGAGAGAAGGACGATGATCGCGGCGTCTCGGCATTTTACGTATATAACCCGCGAGCCTTGTCCATGTCCCAATTCTTGACTGTCTTGGATTATCACGACGCAGCCCAGATCAACTACCGTGAGCAGTACATACGACGAAGTGCAACATAATTCATCACAATGGTAAACCTAATTTCAACAACACTACCCCTGGCCTTTGCGGCTCTGGCCTCGGCCAGGATGTGCAAGAACATCACCGTCGAAGTCGACATCTCGGCACGGAACGCCGTCTTCGATCTCGAGGCGCCCAAGACGAACGTCGAAGTGACCAACTTCTTGCTTAACCTCTCACAACAAGGGGCCAACTACACCGCGACAGTACTGAAAGATGTAAGTCGATGCGAACCAACACTCTGGAGCTTGCCCACCGACCAGAACCCTCAACTAACACCTCAAACAGTATGCCGACGTCAGTGGAACCTACCAGCTGGCCTCGACCTACTGCGAGCCCGACGCCGGCCCGGGTGCCGTCATCCAGATCCTGACCCACGGTATTGGTTTCGATCGTAGCTATTGGGACTTCTCGGCCAAGGGCGGCGAGTACAGCTACGTCGGCCCCGTCGTCGACGACTACGGCTTCTCGACGCTGACCTGGGACCGCCTCGGCATCGCGCAGTCCTCGCACGGCGAGCCCGTCAACGAGATCCAGGCCATGCTCGAGGTCGCCGCCCTCAAGGCCCTCACCGACAAGGTCCGCGACAGCACCCTTCCCGGCCTCGAGGACCGCAAGTTCGCCAAGGTCGTGCACGTCGGCCATTCTTTCGGCTCCGCGCACAGCTACGCGCTGACGGCGCTGTACCCGGACGTCTCGGACGGCATCATCCTGACGGGCTTCGCGCAGAACGGGTCGTTCCTGGCAGACTTCATCCTCGGCGGCGCCTTCATCCAGGCGAACCAGGTGGCGGCGCTGAGCGACTACGCCGACGGGTACATTGCGTCCGCGTACGAGGGTGGTGTGCAGGTCAACTTCTTCGGGCCGGACAACTTCGAGCCGGAGATCCTGACGGCCGTGTACGAGGCGGGACAGCCGGTTACGGTGGGCGAGTTGTTGACTGTTGGCGGCGAGGCTGCGTCGCCCAACGCGTTCAAGGGGCCTGTCCTCATTGTCACTGGTGGTAAGTCCACGACTGTTGTGAATGTTGTTGTTACACACAGAGACTAATAAGGGTGTTTTACGTAGAGAGGGATATTCCGTTCTGTGGAGGAAACTGCCTCGCGACCGGCAACCCCGACCTGCCCTCGATCCCGGCTTCGTCGGGTATGATTTTCAAGAACGCCAGTGCTTTTGAGGCCTACATTGTTCCTAAGGCTGGACACGGTCTTGCTTTCGTAAGTTGTTTCATTGTATCGTGGGTATACACAATGCTAACTACCCAACAGAGCACTTCTCACGTTGAGGTGACGAGCAAGATGTCTGATTTCCTGTACCAGAACGGTCTGGGTTGCCTGATCTAAGCGATCAGTCTGACATGTAAATATGGAAGTGCATTGCATAAATCCAGTCGTGCGATGGAGCCAGCCATCTACGTCATAACCATAATAGTTAAGAGGACTGTAATTGAAGAATCAAGACCACAAGCATTACACGAGAAATGGGACATGCAATTGGGTGACATAACCATACGCCAGCCAACGCCAATTCGGATTTGGAGCAATTGATCGCTGCGTTAATTCCGTGGAGCTTCGGCACCGAGGGCGACATTGAAGACCGCGGACTACGGCGACTAACCGAGTCTGACGTGAGACATTGCCTTTAAAGAGCGGTTGTCGCCCTCTCAAACGAGGATACTTTAGCAACTCGCAGCAAACAACAATCAAGGATCCAAGAATAAACCAGCAGCAACAATTATCCAAGAGAGATATGCACGAGTGGCAGGTAAAAGCAAGAGAAGACGCCGAGAACCAACAAGACGCGCCGTCCTCGCTGCGCGAACTGCTCGGGATGGATTCCGAAACGACCAAGGCACCGATCCCCGTCATCGTCTGCGGCAAGGCGGAGGTCATCGGCCGTGTCGTCATCGAAGGCCTGAAGCCGGAATACGAAGGTAAGCCCCAGTCGCCTGGCACACCCGGGCTGCATCGATGACGGGCCGATCCGCTCACACCCTTTCCCCCCAAAACGCAGTCGTCCACTTCATCATGACGCCCGCCTCAGGAGCCGCCATCATCCCGGCGATTCTGACGGGAAAGACCCCGCCGTCCCACCCCGACTCGAGCGCCATCGGGACGGGGAACTACGCCGTCCCACCCTGCGCCATTATCCTCGGGGCTGCGTTCGACGACGAGGCGGTCGAGACCATCAAGAAGGGCGTCGCTGGGGCTGCGGGGGCCAAGAAGGTTCCTTGGCTGAGGCACGATACCAGCAAGCCGTCGCCGCCGATCGGGCCGGAGTACGGCAAGGCCGTGGTTGCGAGATGCAAGGAGACGTTGGCGCGGTTGGAGAAGGAGGGGAAGCTGGATGGGGAGCACGATGCTGATGAGTGGTACTGAGGCCAAGGACTAGCCAGGCAAGGCCAGACCAGGCAGAGACTGCATATCAATGCGAATGACTTAATCGACTTGATTGATGAAAAAGGCGTGTCTCATCTGATGTTGTCATTGACCGCGGGGAAGATGGTCGGGATGGCGACACCAAGTCTACCCCGCTGCAACCCACCGCGAGATAAGCGATAAGGCGAGAAACATGCCGATGAACGGCATCACTCACCTCTTCAACGACAACCTTGACTCTCGTCAAACTTGCATGAACCACCATCAACCTCTGACCTGTGGTTCTAGTTTCTTCTGAACGTTGTTTTCCCCGCCACGTGGTGTTGTACACTCGCACCCACACCATCTCAGGTCCCACAGTTCATGTGTCTCATCCCAGGACAATCCCAGGTCTTAACATATCGTCCCATCTCACTCCCAGACAATGGCGATCGCGGTACGGTCTGCCACATTTTGACGCAAGACCACGTGGTGTAGCCGCAACTCTACTGACGTCTTGGCATCACACAGGCTGTCGGTCAGATATGCTCAACCGCATCGCTGGTGCATAACCTCGAGCAGTGCGTGAAACTAGTCGCCAAGGCCGCTGTTGGTGGCGCAAAGGTACGGCTTTCTTCCTCAGAACATTCGTTCTGAGTCGTCACGAGGGCAGAGACATGGCTTCCCTCGGCCCCAACGCCTTGCAAAAGACGTCCCGCACCAAAGACATCCACACTGACTCCCGCAAGGTCCTCTTCCTCCCCGAGGCCGCAGACTACATCGCCTCAAGCCCCCAGGAATCACTCTCCCTCGCCCAGCCCGAGTCCACATCCCCCTTCGTCCTCGGCCTCCAAGAAGCGGCAAAGAAGCACTCGCTCGCCGTCAACGTCGGCATCCACGTCCCGGCCCCGCCCTCGCCAACCTCCCCCGGCGGCGGGCCCCGACTCCTCAACCGCAGCCTCTGGATCGACGCAGACGGCTCCGTCAACGCCGCCACGACCTACGACAAGCTCCACCTCTTCGACTACGGCGCCCTCCGCGAGTCCGCCACCGTCCAGGCCGGCCCCGCCCTGACGGCCCCGTTCCCCACCGCCGTCGGCCGCGTCGGCTCCCTCATCTGCTTCGACCTCCGCTTCCCGGAGCCCGCCCTCGCCCTCACCCACCCGGCGCCCCGCAGCCCCTTCCTGCCCGAGAACGGCGGCGCCGGCGTCGCCCAGGTCCTGCTGTACCCGTCCGCCTTCACGCTCAAGACGGGCGCCGCGCACTGGGAGACGCTGCTGCGCGCGCGCGCCATCGAGACGCAGAGCTGGGTCGTCGCCGCGGCGCAGGTCGGCGCGCACAACGCGAAGCGCAGCAGCTACGGCCACAGCATGGTCGTCGATCCCTGGGGTGCCGTCAGGCTGGAGCTCGGCGGTGTGGACGCCGACGGCAGGGCCGAGGAGGGCGCCGAGGGGGCCATTGGCTTCGTCGACGTGGATTTGGATGAGTGGACGAGGATCCGCGAGGTTATGCCGTTGGTCAGACGCACGTGAGTTGTCCTTGCCTTTGCTCCTCCTCTCTGCAGCCCCCGCCTCCCTTTTTTTTTTTTTTTTTTCTTCTTGTTCCCGGACGACACGTTTTTTTGCTGCACATCGTCACACCGCCTTTGAGCCTCATGTCTCGTGTTTCCGTATTGTGAACAGCACAACCGCATCCCCCCCCTCCCCTGAAGACGCACACGCCCCCGGCATATCCCACTGATCTTCCCTTCCCCTTCGTCCGGCCCCTCTCTTCTCCATATCGTGAGAGAGAGAAAGGTACCAGCTGGATGGTTTGACTGACGAGAGGAAACAAGCGATGTGTACCCTGGAATCTAGGTGTAAGCCGCCCGCCCACGGCACGCGGCACGCCCCCTCCCCCCTTCCCATCTGAGCTGTCACAATCCCGAGGAGCAGGGTCAAGCTGGGTACGGCAAATGCAGTGTCCCCGTCATCTTGCAGATGAAAGGGAAAAAAAGTCCTTCTAGAAAGCCTCGCTGCCGGGGAGGGGAGGCGGTCAGGGTGTACCGGTGTACGGATACGTTTTGATGATGATGTTGAGCCTGGCACTCGGTAGCACCGCGATAAGAGTTAGAGCGTCCCCGGGGCCCGGGGGACAGACGGAACAGACAGACAGGGGGACAAGGGATGGAAGAGCGGTAGGACCCAATGACTCGGCACGTCTGCGGGAGTTCTAGAAGGAATTGCAAATGTTCCATGGATGGGGCGCCGGCAAATGAGTGAATATCAGACAAGCAAGGCCCTTCCCTCCACCGCCCGTGTTTGACAGGGCTGGCGAAGATGTCCACATCACCGGTGAGGCCTCACCGAGGCAACGCAACGCAACGCAGCGGTAGCGGTAGCGGTAGCAAGGTAGATGGGATGGAGATGGGGATGGGACGGTGGATGATGGATGATGCATGTGCATGTGCGCCGTCCGCCGCGTGCCGTTGGGGACCATTATGCGGTCAAGGACGATGCGGCGGTCAACTAACCGCAGATAACTAAGGTATGACCCGGGGGTGGGCTGGCTCTTCCTTCGCCCCCATGTTTGCCAGTTGTCCATGCCGACGGTAGTGTTAGCTGCGTCTGTTGACCGAGGACGACTGAAAAAATTTCTCACAGTGATGGCCCGGTGAGTCAACATCCCCAGGGGGTCGGTGGTTGTTGTCAAAACTGCAATGTGCGTTTGTGTCTCTCCCCGGGCAGCGGAAAACATTCACCATCGCCCTGGTCGCCGGGGAAGATGATGAGATGAGCCGCCCAGCGCTTGAACGGTAGCGTCAGTGTTAGCGCCCAGCTGTGCCAGCCAGCGCGGTCATCGGTGAAGGGGTGGATGGGCGGTGGTGGTACCCGTCGGCCAGCTAGGCAAGCAAGCACAGCAGCCCAACGGTTTTAAAATTGGGGTTTGCGGTGTGATGGGTGCTGCGCTGGCAGTTCAAGGGGAGGGGTGGTAGTGTACTATGTAGCGGCCATGGTGCGTCGTCTTCTTGCCCGTCCCCGGGGGGCTGGTAAGAAGAAGGTGAAGCCCGTTGTCTGTCTGTTGGTGCAGTTGTGTGTGTTGGGCATGGGCATGGGCATGGGCATTTTGCCCAGACACGGAAGAAGGCGAGAAGAAGGAAAAAGAGGGTCCCGCTAGAAGGAAAATCTGAAATTTGGAAATAACGTGGTAAATTAGGAGTAGAGGCCAAGCGAGAAGAAGCTGTGGATCTGCTTCAGTTGCTTCAGCCCGGGGGGGGGAGGGGTCAACACAGCAACCTCGTCGAGGGTGTGTGTCAATCGTGATTTCCATGGATGATGACAGCGGTGCGGTACGGACCACGGTGCAGGCTTTCGTGGACGGTGTTCATGTCGCCCGGGGCCGTTGTCACTTTCTCTCGCGGCGGGTGGAGACGGCCACCGTCGACGTGGACCGGCAGTGTTTCCCAGTGGATGGAGGCAAAGAGTGGAGATGGGCCGGGTTCGAAGAAGAAGAAAAGAACAAGAGGAGACATTGTTCTCATCATGGCCCCCGGGGACCCGGGATCCATGCCCCGGGATGCCGTTGTCCAGGTCCCGGTCCGCATGGTCCATGAAGGCCCCACCGCTGCGAAAAAAGGGCATTTGGTAACTTGGGACCGGCCGTCCGCCCTGTCTGTCGTCGTTTGCGGGCCTCCGGGGGGGGGGGGGGGGGCCTCCCCTGAACCCGGACCTGGACCATGAACCTGGGCTGGCTCCCTCGCTGGGACCCTCTGGAAAGAAGGAAAGAAGCCAGAGAAAAGAGTTCCAAAACCACAGCCCCGGGAAATTTGGAGCGTTTGGGAATGAGGACCTTGCTCCTTCTCCTCCTCCTCCTTCTCCTCCTCCTCCTCCTCCTCCCCCCGGCTGGTGACTTTTGTTTTGCTTCCCTTCTCTCACCGTGACGATCAAGGGCGAGGGGTCTCACTCAGTGTCTCCCTCTCACCGAATGGACCCCCAATCCCAGACTTCAATCCCACCGAGGACGAGGGCAGGGGGATCGACAGATGGGCAGGAGATTTTTACCAGGAGGTTGGGGACGCAAAGGAGGGCCCCCATCCTGAGGGAAAAGGTCATGGGGTTTAGACACATAACAGAGAGAGATTGTGTGCGCCGAACAGATGGAAAGATGGGATGAAACGTGGGAATGATGATCTCTGCTATCAAATGTCCCATCCCCCTCTCCTCTGTCGCTCCTCCTGTGTGGGGTGGGGGGCTCCAAATTCCTCAATGTTTGGCCCATCTTATGCAATCTGGGCGAGACCTAGGTGCTGGTGGATTGGTATTTGAGGCTCCCGAAAAGGGGGTTTTCGCCTCCTCGTGACGGACGGTTGGTCCCCGGAGAGAGGAACCGACGGCAAGAGGCGTCGCAGCGCGTGGGATGTCAAACCCTACCGAGGCGGGGAGATCACGCTCCAGGAGGCGCTGCGGATGCTGTGAGGTCTCGCTCTCGTTGTGGCGTGTTGAGCCGCATGATCCAAGGCCCTGGTGAGCTGAGGTCTCGAGACTTCCGAAACCCGGTCTTTACTCTGCGGTTCCGGATTTTCTCGCTTCTCGGCCGATGAAGCGTCGCATAGCCTCAGGATGGGGGCCGAAGAGGAGAGGAAGAGGTCTTTGATGTTTATGGTCTCGACGGCCGCGTCCCTGGATCCCGCACAATGCGTACCTTCAGTCCACCGAGCTGGGTCTTTAGAGAAGTGTCTGTTGCCGCAGTGGTAGTGGTAGTCGCCGTCGTCGGCGAATGGGGCCGGGTGCGTTATCAAGGCATCGCATCACGATGACATGTTTGCTGCTTCCAGTTCCCGCCGCCACCGGGGCGCATGTCCGGAGGATGGATACCTCGCGCGGTGTGGTTTGCGTGTTGGCCATTTGCGTACCTATCTCCATATTTGATAGCCTGGGGAAATATCAAAGTTGCTGCAGCAGGCTCAAGAAGGAAGTGGTGGGTACGTAGCTGGCCACAAGTTCCCAAACTTCCGGTTGGCGCCACAGGAAGGCAAGCCAGACTCAGGCACTCGTGGCACTGTACCTGTATTTCCGGATCCGGATGACGTCGCAACTGAGTGTGCGGGAGTGCGACTCTGCGTCTGCATTGTGTCGTTTGGATGTAACCCCCCCCCCAAATAAGATAAGGAGGCCAAGGGAGAATCGCACGGGGGGGAGAGAGAGTCTGTCGTGACTCGCAACGGACGCGACCAACGGCAGTGGTGGATTGAGCCGGCTGCAGATGGTTGGAGGGGGCAATGATAACGGCGGTACCACCCCTGGAGATGATGTTGATCCTATCACATTTCGCATCACCAACAGAGGGCAAACACTCTGGAACGAGGAACCAACAATGGGACATTCAGAAACAACAGTATACTTCCAACCAACAGCCGGCCGACGCACAAACAGCAGGTTGTTGTTGGTGATTGAGTTGCAAGGGGCCCTGCAAACAGCGAAATGGGAGGGTGACCTCTCGATGCGAAACAAGCGAGACGACACACACACACATCACCACAAACACAAATAAAAAGAAAAGAGAAACGCACAAACACGAATGTATTTCATCCACCAATAGGAACTCTCATAAAAATCAATATCTGATTGCTCCAAAAATTCGATGAATAGGCATTCAAAACTCCAAAAGAAGGGTGACAAACAAGCTGTCGTGTCATCAGACCCCTATCAGTTTCCAGCTGGGTCGTCGTCACCGTCCTCCTCGACGGGGTGAGATAAGGTGTGTCAAGGTGAAGGCCATCCCTCACCTGGGGCACACCTTGGACCTCACCGAGCCCGAGCTTCAGCTGATGAGGAAGAAGAAAAGAGTGGGACAAGCCACCATCTCGGTCAAAGCGCATTCCCTGATTGGTCGGGGAAATCAGAAACAGCAGGAAAAAATAAAGAGGGAACCCCTGGCCCACCGCGGGCCACTCCCGATGGGAGGAAGAAAGAATGAGAAAAAAAGAAGGTCCCAGCGCTTTGGTTCCCGGGACGCCGCCGGCTGCATTAGCGCAATCAGCCAGCAGAGAGGGAAGCCGAGGAAGCAGCAAGCAGTCAGCTTGTCCCGTCGTTTTTTTGTGTTTTTTTTTTTTCTGCCAGCACACACCACCCCCTTTTTCTTTCTTCCTGTTCCCTGCTGCCCACCACCAACACCACCACGGCCGTTTCTGATGGCGGCAGCGCCTGGACTGCGCTGCGTGCGAAAGTCGCAAGTGTGCCTGGCTAGCGATATACACACCACAACCACCATCGCCCCTTTCTTTTCGCGCAAATCGCTCCCGTCCATCGTCCTGCTCCCAAGTCCAACTAGTGCAGCCGCCATCATCGTCCGGATAGCCCATCACCTGTTTGCTACGCAGTCTAGTCGCGAAAGCCTGAATTTGCCGTCCCACTAGCCCTAGGCTGCGTGTACTTACTTACACTAGCCGCCTCATTACCGCGCCGTACCCGATCTTTGCCCCTACCCCAAATTAAAGTCTAAATCCCCTTTTTTCCTTTCTCTGCCTCTTCCGTCCATCGTCGCGCAAAACGGA